ATTCATCTCTAGATTAGCAACTACCCTATGCTAAACATGTGGAATATCATTTAGTAACATGCAATAGTAACCATAGCCAGTGTAACATTTCCATATTAATAACAACCATCAAATTCCATTAATTAATGCTACGTTGCCACTGCTTAGTCAAGTTCTCACTATCTGGGAGAGATGGTGATTCAAATCGATTCCTACCTAGCTGGGGAATTATTCCTGACACAAACCCATACTTCCCCCATTGGGGTCACATCAGGTCACCTTTGGTACAACTTAGGAAGCAACTTCGTGGGTCCAATCAGCGCCACACCCTCAGAGGTTCTACCAATTTTCCAGGAAGATCGGGACTCGAACCCGCCCTTGGACTCACGACATTGGCTCTCCACACATCCATACTACGAACCAGGGTGCGCACTTTCACTTATCGGGTCCCGGCCTAAGTTGAGCTACTCGGCTTCGCGGTCGGAACGAGTTATCTGGCCAACTAAGTGCTAGGCATGAGTTCAACATGACATGAGGATGTACAGCGCAACGGTCCTTAACCGACATAGACGGGGATAAATAGGCACCAAGACCTCCATACCTTGTTGCTTCTCTATCACAATCCCGCCCGGTCTCCTTTTATTTATCAACACATGGTTATTTCCATGATAGCAAATATAGCCAACCATGCTTTGGTGTCCACCTATATGTCACAGGTGGCGAGAAATCACCCGACTTCTACCGGTCTAAGCATTGCTAAGCATACATTTGATCCTAAACCTACATAGGGTTCAAGGTATATTTCTGGACAAGGAAGATATATGCAGCAAGTGGTTCCAATCAACTCCTAGTACTTAATGCATCAACATAAAAGGACTCAAGTTGATTGTTTGAAAACATAGGAGGCTTAGAATGCTTCGGGGCTTGCCTAGGATCCAACACCAGGTCAGTGTTTGTTAGATGACAGTCGCTTGGTGAGCATCTCCCATCTCAGCACTTGATTAGTCCTTCCATCTTCTGGATTGACCAAATTCCATCTTTGGGTTCGGCTCCAACATCACGTCCTTCACGTGGTGCATCTAGCGTACCTAGATGAGATGCAAGATGCAAGTGCATGAATATGAAGAATGGTCACATCATAATGATTTAAGCACTAGAGAGCAAGTCATTCAACTAAGTAACTAGGGCTACATAATTTAGAGCATGCACCAACAACATCAAGAATGGCAATCAACTTAAGTGCATACACAGAATTTGGACAGCAGTACAGCAGTCGCGTGTTTCAACCATAACTGGAGTTACAATCATTCAATAAAAGCGATCTTGGAGTTTCTGGAAAGCTAATGAAATTGTCTACACTTTGTTATTCATTCCAAAAGCTAACTCATAGGTTAACATGATCAAATATGCTAACATCTCAGGTCTATACCGATAAGGATAGAAAACTGACATCAAATTCAGAAATGTATAACTGGAGTTCTAATCATCCAACAAGCATGATCCTTAAGTTTATAGAAATATTATTAAGTTATCTACAACTTTCTTATTATCATCTTTAGGTGATTCAACAGTTATTTGGCCTTAAACACACAAAGCAATAATTCTGTCCAAAACATGGACATAATCTGATATGCAACTTCAGACAACAATAAGTTGAGTTCTAGCTTTCACAACAAGGTGGTTATAGACTTTTTAGAAATCTTAACAAACCATGCACAACTTTGTTATAAACACCACAAGCTAATTCCAAAGTTAACCAGGTCAAACATCACAAAGAGACATCTCTGTCTAGATTAGGATATAATCTGTCACTCCACTTCACAAGCTCATAACTGGAGATTTAGACCACCAAAAGGTGTGGTGTTTAATAATTTGGAAAGCTAATGAAAATCAGTACACTTCTTCTATTATATCCAAGACATGATTAAAATCTTAGCTAAGCCAAACAACACAACCATTCAAATCTGTATAGAGAGCATGCAAAACCTGACAGGGAAATTATAAAATCTATAGCTCTTAAATTATCAGGCCTATGGTAATGAAAATTTAACACAATCTAGATTATGAAGTTACCTACAACTTTGGTATTCACCATATTCATAGAAAATATCATTTGCATCATGAAACTAATTGCACAACCAAAACTGTACCTACAGTCTAGACAGCTGAGGCATACCACATTCATCTCATATTTAGTTGCTACAAACTAACATGTTCTTGACATACATGCTACTCTAAACAGCTTGTGACCATATTCAAACAATCATAGCACATACTAATAGCTATGAGAAGCATCATTGGACAATAACTACATAGTTCTATTAGCAAACTTTCATCCTCTATGTATATAATGCAATATATATGCTATTTTTAGTGCCATATGAGAACAACTAGTTTCGGCCACGTGCGAGGGCAAAGGCAGCGGCAACAGCGAAGGCAAAGGCAGTGGCAACAGCAGCGAGATGCTTCTAGCAAGCATGTGCAAGGTGGATAGGGAGGTCACAGGGCTGGTGGCGGCCTGGCCCGGGATGCGAGCCCAAAGCTATGGGGTGACGAGTGGCTTTGCCCGCGGTGGCCATGGCGCCAGCGTAGAGCAGCGAGGTGAGGGAGTGGCAGAGAGGGTGTGGGGAGGCAACTGAGGGGCATCAGGGGCAGCTTGGCATCTTCACATCGTGGGGGTGGGCGAGGTGGCGGTTATGCGAACAAGCACGAGGGCCATGCGGCAGCGGCATCCTACGCTCGGTCCGCCATGATGGGCTCCAGTTTGAAATCAGCTAAGGAGCTGACAATACCACCTCAAAAATACAATTGAAACTCCATCTTCAACCTTCCTTATCCTCCAATCTGGCTGTCCTATGATCACGACACAAGAGGTAAAGTTGTAGATCTTTGAGAGGTGAACAAGATTGCTTTAAGGATCAAGAGCAAACTCGGCCTAGATTTGGATATATGGATCTTCAAAGGAGGGTTCCCCAAAACCAAATTCTATAGTTCAGTTACAGGCTGACTGAAACTGCATTCTTCTCCCCCTTTTTGACTCCTAAACCATGGAGTCTTAGCTTAAGGAACTGTGGTAAACTTTGTAGGGCTACATGACTACTACAAGTTTGCTTAAAAGAGTTCATCTAACTCGGATTAGTTAGAGAGAACTAGCGCTCCAAAGAGGGGTACATGAAACTGAATCCCAGACTTAGAACATTCAGGCATCGGCAAGGAAGTTTAGTGCAAGTAGCTATTTTGGGAGCTGATTCTGAAGGTCCAAACTGGATCCAGACTTGATAAAACTTATTTTTTGTCATCTCCATGGATAGTACTTCAACTCATATTAAGGAATCCAAGTGAGTTGACACATGAATTTGGACGATAAAATGTCGCAAAGAAGTTAACTTGTTGCTGTCACTTCAGGGATAGAAAAATTTACCGGGAGCCTAAGACAACAACTGATTCAATCTTCAAGCCTCTGTTTGACTTAGTTCCAAGTTGATCTGGCTCTTGGTCTAAAAACAAAGTTTATTCTACTCCACTTAAACTTTAACTTTTATTTAAGGTGCAACTCCATGCAAGCAATGTAAGTGATTGGTCAACATAGGTCAAAATAGCATCACGATAAAGCTTAAATTAGAGTTTTAGATCGATTGAGGCATTTTCTTGACTTTTGCTCAGTATGAACCCTTCATGAGTTTTGTTGTAGAGTTCAATTAGAGTCATTTTGGCAAGGTAGAAAGGTTTGGTCGACATCTCATATTCCCATTTACTTAATAAAGCAATCCAAGAAAGATTATAACTTATCATTTCATGTGACTTCTTGATTCCAAACTTCATGAAACTTTTCATTGGTCAAGATGGTTGCATGTTGATTTAATGTACGTGAAATAATCATGTTTAACATTACTCTTGCATAATATTAACAAGGGTACACATGTAAGTAAGGGTGTGTTGTCCAAGTTTAAGTTGGAGCTCACTCTTATAGATTTGATCTTGACAAATTCATCACCACTTAACATGTCATGTTTGAGCTCAAACCCATTGCTTAACTGGTGACAAACACCTGGGGTGTTACAGTGGGTGGGTGGGTGGGGGGTGGGGGTGTTTCTCCCCCCATCGACTTATCAAAAAAAATCACAACAATATTAACATGCGAGTGTGCATCATGCGTGACCCCCTCATTTCATAAATCTGCTCACCCAAAACGTGAAGCTTAAACCCGTGTAAAATCTACTTATGGCCTTGCTCCTATGTAGAATGAGCTCGCATATATGTAACATTATTTCTCTTACATTTTCATCCTCAATTCATATAATAGAGTTAACACTATGCCAGAAAACCTTATCAGTGACGCGTGTAGAGGGTCATCAGTGACGCGTAAAACACGCGTCACTATTCTTGCGTCTGTGATAAGGGCACATTAGTGACGCGTAAAAACGCGTCACTGATAGGAAACTATCCGTGACGCATATTTAGAACACGAGTCACTGATAACGCGAACATGCGTCACCGATAACTGTAAGACGCGTCACTGATAAGGAAATAGAGTGACGCTTATTCAGAATACGCGTCACTGAAAACAGGAATACGCGTCACTGATAAATCCATATCAGCGACACGCTGTGGGAACCCGCGTCACTAATAATTCTATATCAGCGACATGTTGTGGTAACACACGTCACGAATAAGGATATATGAGTGACACATACTAAGAATATGCGTCACTGATTTGCGTCACTGATAATTTGATATCAGTGACTCATGTCTGTCTAATGTGTCACTGATAGCATATAACAAATCTACACATTGCTCATCAGAACCCCACATCATTCACAGAAGAAATATATATAAGTCATCAATATGTAACATGTTCACACGAGATAGACATCAAGTTCAACAGATTCACATTTATATCAAATGTTCACAACTTGTTCAAAATCCATCACAACTTGTTCGAAATCCATCTAAACATTGGGCTTAATTTATTTAGTCACACACTACATCACTAGACTCACACTGATAATGGCAAACACACATCACTGGTCATGATGGAACTCTCCTTTCTTCTCGATGACTTGTTCCACTAAGAACCTGGCTAGCTTTTCTCTAATCATGAGCATATCGATGGGCGTCGTCAACACTTCAAATTCCTGTGTCAAGATAGAACTTTGGTAAAAAAGAAAACATGGTACAGTACAATGTACAGGACAATATAGACAATCAATGTAAAAAATCACAGTTGCTAAGCTTGATGCAAACAATCAAGGGACATAGGAACATCCGCAGATGTGGAAATTCATTAGCAAGCAGATGGTGCTGTGCCTATGTCTATCACTGAGTAAAATATATAGGCAGCGTAAAGCATCGAGCATTCGAGCTTATGACTAAAGTAGTACTGTGCATGTTTCCACTGAAAAGAAACTGCAGAGTTTTCTTCTACATCAAGGGAATAGCCTACAAATGTAGTGAAATCGCATTAAGGTTTGAAATACAACTGTTACTTGAGAACTGCTTTTTCCTGGACACGCAGGACTGTTTCCTTGAGACTGATTTGAAGACAGAATGCTGAGGCTACACAAACTTTTTCATCAAGACTATGAGCAATCGGCTAGTGCCACTATAACCGAATAATGATACTCAAATTGAAACACAAACTGGCCACTGCGACAATGGCCACACTATATCCGAGTGCTAGGAAACAAATAAACAATCAGAGAAAATAATCTGTTAGCTAGCTGCATGCTCCTAATCCAATCACTAAACTACCTTGAGCATAAGGCGGTTCAGCTGCAAAAGCACAGAGCTGGCACCTGCTCCTCCACCCTCATCAGATCACTCCCCAAAACGAAAAGACAGGTAGCAATACAAATAAAGCCTCCACCTTTTCTCTTCTCTTGAGATAGAAAAAGACAGGTAGCAGAACAAGTACCATGGGCTAAAAACTATACTAGGACATGACACAGTCACACACACTCAAACAACCATGGGCCATTATATTTGCACATCCAAAGTTTAGATATGAATACCTCAGAGTATTCCAAGTTTGTCTTTCTCATAGCTAAAAACAAGTGGTGTGCAGCATACCAGCCAGATGACTTAGCAGAAGATTGTTGAAGGCACTGCGACAAATATATATAGAACACAATAATTTGAAAATGGAAGTTGAACACAGTACTTAATATACTAGAGGCACAATATTGACTTTTATTTTTGGAAGCACTTACCGCATATTTAAAAGCGTGTTTCAATGGCTGTGGTCTGTCTTTCAGCTTGTTTGTGTGTCTTGCAAAAGCCCTACATGTAAGAGTACAACACACACATATATATGGCTCATTATGTTGGTTCAATGATATTGGCACTTATGAAACAAGTTAATAGTAGGTAAGCAAACAACTCACTCGTCAATCAACAGTTTTAGCACGCTGAAATCATGGTTTTCAGATCTGTTGGAATCAAGGTATATGACCTTATTTCACTTTTGAATTATTACCACGACGATCCAATGATCACCAGCTAAGCCGCCAGAGTTGTAGGCAAACATTATGTAGTCATTCTTGGTATACTTGGTGAAGGCCTTTTGTACATACTGCAGAACTTTGTCTCTATCAAATGTTATGCTGTCCAGTGACATCACTTGTGGATCTAGAAAGCCCACATGAATGTCCTTAGCCTTAGCTTCCACAACCAGTGATCTAAAAAAAAGAAAGAACATGTAGACAACATGAGTACATAAACCAAAAGGGATATGCCTAGAGAAAATGAGTACAGAACAACCGATGAACTGCAAGCATATGTATCTGGGTCAGCTACTTCAACCGGCTTAATTGCATTTTATCTGGGTCAGCTAGAATACACATGATGCAGAGCATGAAAATTGATGTTTAACGTCTGTACTCTGTACCTCAACTCATGCAAGGTAAACCAAGCACAAAATTGATGTTTATGTTCAGTTTTATTCTAGAAGCACTCTAAACATGTTCAAAAGTTGACATGTTCAAAAGCTGACATGTTCAAAAGCGGTTCTGCAAAAATAGCAACTGGCAATAAACAAAGGCACAATAGCAGCTATCATAATGACATAGGTGGCTACCAAATACTCTATATGGAGATGGCTAGATACAAATGTAGGGATGATATAGATAGTTTTCATAATGACATAGGTGGATGATTTATTTATTAGATGGTTACTTTAAATGTAAGGAGAACTAGTATCAGCTATGACCTTATTTCTGTTCTTCTACCATGGGGTAACAAAAGTAAAGAACACAGATTTGTTTGGAGGTACTTATAATATCCAGCATTGAAGAAGAGAGGCATCCAATGCCCCAAATTGGAAGAGGTCATACAGAAAATTGTATCTCACAAGCCTGACTTCGAAATTTGATGAGTTCAGCATATAAATACCCCTGAACCTAACCACTATCCCATGCTTATTGTTGACGCAATCTTTCATGTAATGAGCATGAAGAGCAGTACATCCAGGTCCTACCACCTTGAGGTCCATTGCTGGGAGAAATGGGTGGCCACATTTGTACTTATCAATCCATTTTAGCTGCTGCGGTTGTTTTAGACTCTGTCCAACAGCCTTACTAGCCAACTTTTTATTTGTGGCTGCCTTTTCACTCTCTCCAGCAGCCTTACTAGCCCCTTTGGGTTGCTTGGGTGGCCTTGCACCGCTTCCAACAGCCTCAGTTCCCACTTTTGGCTGCGTGGGCAGCTTAGTGCACTCCTTCTCTGAGCTGTTTGGATTGTTTGAAGGGTTGGCTGTATTATGCTCCTTTGGCACACTCTTTGTTGCATCAGATGTGGCCGGAGATTGATGATTTGAAGGAGTTGAATTGGCTCCACAAAGTAGCTTTGTAGAAATAATAGCATTAGTGCCCTTCGAAACACTCTTGGCACTCTTTGTGGTCTCATCTGGTTGAGATTGGGCTGGCTGGGTCTCATGTGTTTGTTTCACTAGAATCCAATCCCTTCTCCACTGTATCCTCTGTAGTAGAGCTTCTCTAAGTGTTTTGATATCATCATTAGGGGGCGGCTGTAGCACATAATCCTCATAACCCTGATGTACACATTCCACTTGGACTATTGCATAATCATAATCTATTTGGACTGATTCTAGCACAAACTCCTTTGGTAACACCCGACCCTCTGCAACCACAGGTCGATAGTTTCCAAGGTTCACTACCAAGGAACATTGGGTTGGCTCTTCAAGAAGATCAATAGTATCTGGAGCAACTGAACTGGGCCCCAACTCCAGGTCGTTTGGAACAGCGTTGGAGGCAGAGGCACAACTGCTCCTTCGTCCGCAGGCAGGACTAGGGGTCCTAGAAGATGGTGGTCTTACCAACAAGCCTTGGTCTACAAGATAGGACATGACATCCTGTGTGACCTTGCTAGTAACCTCTTTCGTGACCTTAGCCGTCACTTCTTGTGTGACTTGAGCTGTAACTTCTTGTCTAACTTGAGCTGCTATCGCTTGCACATCCACATCTACTGCACCAGACCTCTTTCTTTTTATGTACATGGCAGAACACCCAGGCCAACCATGCTTCCAGCCAGTGTAACTTGAAACAGCGCGCACGCGGCCTGGCTGTTCAGGGCCCAAACATGCAGTTAGCACATCATTCTCCCTGACCCAAGTGACGCCTGAAGATTCTGCGGCTGATTGCTTCTCTTTAATGTCTTCAGAGATTTTTTTGTGTTGAATCCTGTTTCCAGATGATCTCAGCTTTATCTTCTGATACCTCAAGCTTACTGCTTGCTCGTAGAAACCTCACAGGGCGGCCTTCAGGGTAGTCATCCCATGGGTTAGGGATGCCTTTCTTGACTAACTCTGCATCCTCCACCTCCCACTTTTTCTCTTTCCCATCATACCCTGCAGAGCCCTGACAATGGTTGTGTACATTTTGTTGCCGAAGCATTTTGTATTTCTCACTTTTCGCTATTTCTTCTGGGGACTTCTTCAATACCTCAAATTCTGCCCAATCTTCAGGTTGAATGTAGGGGTGCTTCTGAAAGGGAGTGAGGTTTTTCTCGATAAAATCGGTCACTAGCCTGTTTTTGTGGGTTCTCCAACTCTTAGATATCACCTTCATTATATACTTAAGCCCCTCAGTCTTCATTGTATCTGGGAACTTCAAGTAGGGCATGACATGTTTATTAAACAATTCCCATTTCCTCTCATCAGTAAGGTTTTTGAATGATGGCATAACTAAGGATAGCTGTTGTCTAGCAATCAAACGAGCAAGCAATCGCAATCTTCGTTGTTGTTTCACCTCAATTGGCTTCCCATCTGGATGTATCTCTGTGACCTCGATCATGTCAGTAGGCCACTTAGATGCTGTCTTTGGTTTTTGGGGTCGGCGCACAGGCTCAGGCACAGAAACAGTTGTGTCCCCTCTTCTTCGTCGCCACTTGATGAAGAATCCGTGGAAGACACCTATCAATCAAATTCGAGAAAGATGTGGTTTAGCAAATTGCAGAAGACCAAATTTAGATGCTAGAAATATGCTAAACACTTGAAATGACTGTGGGTGGTGATAGCTTACCATTTTGATGTGGAACTTGAAATGACCGAGGAGGAGGCCGGGGCGACGGGCGTGGTGACCGGTGGATCTCCAGCTCGGGGCCCCAACTCTTCCCGCCGCCGGCAAAGCCGCTGCGGCTGCCCTGCGCGTCCTCTTGCGTCTTGCTCGCGAATGGGAGAGTCGAGGGCGGGAGAGGCGGCGGCGCACGGGAGAGGCGCGCCGAGAGATGCGGCGGCGCAAAGGAGAGATGCGGGGCTGCGGATGCGGCGGCGCACGGGAGAGATGCGGGGCTGCGGGAAACGGGAGGGAGGGACTGCGGGGCTGCGGGGACTTGGGGACTGAATTTGGGCCTGCTGGTTTCCGGCCCAAACAAAATAGAACGATTGGTGAAAAGCAAGCAAGCAAGCACCTGGCCATCCTTGAGGACGCCTCTGTAAACCTGGCCGAAGCCGCCCTTGCCGTCGAGGTTGCGATCGCTGAACATGTTGGTGGCCTCTTCCATCTCCTTGAGCATGAACACCATCGTGCAGCTGCGTTTCTTGGGCGGCGGCTGATGCTCCTTCGCCTGCCATAGCTCAGCCGGCTTGTACACCCCTGCAGAGTGCAGAGGACGTCCGTTCAGATCATCAAACCATAGCAAATTCAGAAGTATCCCTGACAGCAAGAACAACGAAATGCTAACTGTGCTTCAATAAAACATAACGTGAACTAATAAAGCTACAGAAACCCAAATTGGTCATGCGAATCACTCGAAATAGATGCAGTGACTAAGTAGTTTCATATTTCATTTCATCTGTTAGCATCACGAAGTTTCACTGATTTCATCATTTAAGTATCACTGTGACTGAACCTACTATGCTCGTATATGAATTACGGACAGACCAAGGATGGAGATACTTACCAGAGTTGTAAACGTACAGTTCGGTCTTCCAGTACTGCTATTTTGAACAATTAAAATAGCAAAGATATTCTTCTTGTTACCTTATTATAAATTACTGTGCACACTGTACAGACCCACAAAGGATGATTGGCATTGGACCAAGCTTGTGTTCTTCCTGGTAAGCCTCAATATACTGAAGGATCTTACATACCTGCTAATTACACCAATAAATATTTATGAATAATATTGCAAACATTATGCTTAGATGTAAAAAGAACAGTGTTTCTACCTCTGCTCTACTGAAAGGAGAGCACTGAACCTCGATATGCAAAGCACCACAAATAGCCATTTGCAAGTATGGAGTTTCCTCAGCATTTGCAAAGCACCTACAGCAGTGCAAGCATGCCAGTACAATCAAACACCTTTTTTGTGAATTATCCAACATACATATTTTGGTGCAAGTGACTAGTTCAGATAAGCATTACTTTTTTGAGAACCTAACACTGTAATATCTCTTGCGTACCTTCAACAGATAAGCATTACTTTCTCTTGCGTACTTGCCGGTTTCGGCGGCCTTTTGCAACGGTGGCCTCTTCTACATGACCATGTCGTAAGTATGAAGTTTCCTCACTCTCGAGAATCATAGGGAGGGTCCAATCACCAAAAGGAGGGACTTCATCAAATTGATTGTACTCTTCCTCCTCCACAACATCTTCAACTCCGACAACCCGTTTTTTACCGGGGAGAACTACAAGGCGTTTCTTGTTTTGCGTGTCGAGCACATAAAAGACTTGTGAAACCTGAGCTGCAAGTACGAATGGTTCATCCTTGTACCCTACCTGTTCAAAATCAACGGTAGTGAATCCATATCTGTCCTTGTTGATGCCCCTTGTGCCCTTAACCCAACGGCACCGAAAAACAGTCACCTTGAAGGGCTCCTTGACCCCAGGATAAGTTAGCTCCCAGATCTCCTCTATCTGACCATAGTATGCATCCTTCTGTACGTCAGTGTTGTCCAAAGCAACTACACGAACACCACTATTTTGGTACACATTTTCTGGTCTTGAGCCAAGGTGTAAAATGTGTATCCATTTATGTCATATCCCTGATAACTTGTGATTGTGAACAAAGGGCCTTCTGCTAGGTTCCGAAGCCCTTCATCTGTGCAATAGCTCAAACTGAGGATCCACTTTTTGAACCAAATGTTGAATCCCTTCATATGTGCCCTCCCTATCCATGCTTCGCTCCAACCTGGATTCTCTTGACGCAACTGCTCCTTATGCTCCTCGATATAAGGAGACACTTCTAGTGTGTGTACCAACACGAGAAAGTGAGCCCGCTGGTAATCATCCGGATCTAGATTAAGTGTCTTCTTCCCAAGAGTCCCTATCCCCACTAGCCTTCCCTCATGGGGAGACTTATATAAGCCGATTGGATTTGTAGGATCAATGTAACCAAGGCACCAATCAACCACCTCCTCAGCAGAGTAACCCTGGACCATGCTTCCCTCAGATGAACCCGACTCTTTGTATACGGTTCAAAGTGCTCATGAATCTCTCGTGACGGGTACATATGATGCGGAACACGGGACCAAGATACTTTATTTCCTTGACCGGATGAGCAATGAGATGAACAGATATATCAAAGAATGCCGGTGGGAAGTACGCCTCTAGAAGAGACATTGTCCGGAAAAGCTTCTTCTCAAGATTGTCCAAAGTGACCTCTCATCAAGAACCTTCCGAGATATTGCATTGAAGAAGAAGCATAGGCTCATGATTGCCATTCGGACTTTTTCGGCAAAATGTTCCCCGATTCCAACCGCAAGCATTGTTGTGAGCATGACATCGCAATCGTGAGCCTTCATTGGGAGCATTTTGTTCTCTTTTGGCGCCACGAGCTTCCCGATGTCCGCTGAGTATCCGGAGGAACTTTCACGCTTCTGGAAGAAGTCGCATGCCTCCCGCCTCTCTTCCTTAGTTAGATTTATGGCACATAATGGTAGTCTGCAGACTTTGGGGCCCTCGGACACAACTCGGGCCGATATCCAAATCTTTCATGTCCGCTCATGCATTTGCATGGTCCTTGCTTTTCCCTTGGTGTACAAGAGTGTTCCAAGTAAGCTCCCACAAACATTCTTTGTCACATGCATGACATCGATCTTTGTGGCGAATCTGCTAAGTCTTTCCAATAGGGTAGCTCCCATAGAATGGACTTCTTCTTCCACCTCTTATCGCCGACTTCTTCCTCCTTGCGCTTTCTCTTTCCAAGGGCACTCTTTTGTTCTTCCCCAACGTAACATTGACATCCTTTACCTGGTCATAGACATCGTGCCCGATGAAATGCCTTGGAGCAGATCCTTCTCAATTGTGCCATCAAATCTGGCGTTTCATGAGCCGGTAAGGATGGGATCGGCTAAGAAACGGCGATGTCTTATGTACACCCTCTTCTTCGAGTTGTTCAGCCAAAGACTCTCGGTATCATCTAAGCAATCGAAAGCAATCTTTCTCTCCTTTGATCGCCCGGACAAGCAACGGTGTCCCGGAACATCGGTGATGTTTGGTTAACACCATTGCACGCAACTTGAATGACTCTCTCTTGAACCCATCATATACCTTGACACCATCCGGACCGTAGCCTCTTGAGCTCATTGACAACCAGCCTTAGATACACGTCGATGTCATTCCTTGGCTGATGCGGACCCGAGATCAAAAGTGGCATCATCATGTATTTCCTCCTGTTACACGCCCCATGATGGAATGTTGTAGATCGATAACAACACGGGCCGGACAACGTATGAAGCTGCTCATGTTACCGAATGGGTTCATGCCATCTGTGCTTCGATTAAAGCGAATGTTTCTTGGCTCATCTTTAAAAGATGCATACTTGGAGTCGATGACGCCACCATCGAATAGCATCTGCTTTGGATGCCGTAGGTAACCATCATTCTTAAGTCCCTCCTTGTGCCAACTCAACAATCTGCAAGGTCCTTGGCGATTTGCAAACAAACGCTTCAAAGTAGGGATTATAGGGAAGTACCATACCACCTTCCAAGGAGCTCCATGCCTCTTGTCCTCATCACCCCGTCATTTCTTCGCTTGTATCGAGAGACTCCACACTCGGGGCATTCGGTCAGTTTTTTGTTTTCTTTACCATGGTACAAGATATCTGATCATTCTTGCGGGCATCGATTTTCTCGACCTCCAATCCCATAGGGCAAACAATCTGCTTGGCCTCATATGTGGTCTTGGGTAACTCATTCCCCTCGTGCAACATGTCCTCTAATCGATGTAGCAATGCATCGAAGCTCCGGTCACCCAATGATATGTCGCCTTCAACCGGAGAAGCGTGAGAGTAGCAAACAACTTTGAATACTTTTCCTTGCAGCTCGATGGAGAGGAGTCCTCATGTCCGCCATCAACCTCTTCAGACTTCTTCATCTCCGCCTCGAAGTGTACTCATCAAAGCCCATGGCATCACGCACCATCTCCTCAAGGTCCTGTGACTTCGGGCATAATTGGCACTTGATATCTCGCTAGCTTGTCATCGGTGAGATCCGGGATGCAAAAGGGTCCTTCCTTGTTGTCCTGACCAGCACCATGAGTTCCATCATCCTGACATAGGTCACCAGAGAATCCTTGGTCCATACGACCAGCTTGCAAGTCTCGATCATTAACTCCTTCTTCTCCATGCTTGTTCCAACATCTGTAGTGATCCATGAATCCTCGGAGGATCAGGTGGGCATGGAGTGTTAATGAACTCGAGAACTGCTTCTTATTCTCACAATCAATGCATGGACACCACATAGTTGTCTTGTGCCGATTCAACATATCCGCCTCTGCAGCTCTTATGAATAATTTCAGACCATCTAAGTACTGAGCACATGCACGGTTGCGAAGAGACATCCAGCTCCGATCCTCCATATCTTCAAAAGTATGAAAACAAATGAAATCAACTAATCCTTGCATGAAAATCCTATAAATTACTTGAATAGTAAATTTACTATTGCATCAGTGTGACACTCCCAAGAAAAAGATATGACTAGCCAAAGCTCTATGAAAAACAAGTTGCACTGAAGTAGAGCTTAGCTTGGCTATGTGAGTTCAGTCAGACCTGATATTGAACTAACAGCCAAAGAAGACAACAACTAGTTAGAACAGGGTACTAAGCTGTATACCACTGATAGAAAAATATTATGCATTAAACTGAACAGAGAGCACACCTACTGTCTATTTTGCAATGAAATTTTCAAAACCAAAACTGCTGGAATTTTAACCAGTCCCTCACGACATCAGTCCAATCCATCCCAACAAAAATAATCCAAAAAATACTAAATTTTAGACTTTATGTTTGCAATCCCACTATGTCTCAATCCAACAACCAATAATACACCATGAGGACCCAATTGGGAAGATGCTAAATCAGCAGAAAATACCTACTTGGACAGTAGCAGCTTCCTCCGACTAGTAGACTTCTTGGCTAGTGGTGTTCAGCACTCCTATCCTCCATTGATTATTTCAAGCAGTAAAGCATTTGCAGCTTGGAACAAACGTAGTTGTCAGGAATCAGGCTTTGCTATTCCTCGAGTATCTGTTGCTTTGCTCACTGCAGAAATCAAGCATATCGGATATTATTAATCTGAACACACAAGCATTCGAGTAACTGGTTTAGTATAGGCACGACCTCAAGAAATTTTGCTGCTAAGTACTGTCTGACAGTATTGGTTATTTGACCATAGCAGAGAAACATTAGGAACCTCATATATATAATCATAGGCATATATATAACAGAAACTGAAATCTGTCTTTGGTTAGTTTAGTTTTGGACTAATTCCACGTTTGTAGCAGAGAAACAATGGAACATAACGGGACCTGATAATTTTGCCTGACAAAGTAGACTACCTATTAGTAGCAGTCAGTGTTTGTTTGCCAGAAACAAGAAAGAACATGCAGATGTCTTCCCATAATTCTTTTTCTGGGAGCCACGTAGGCAACACATTTTAGACTGCGAAGCTATTTCAATTTAACATCAATTCTAAGTAGCAGTTTTGAACTTTTTGAATCATTGGATGGATGGATATTGCACAAGTCTACTACTGTCTAGCTAGCCACGCTTCCATGATTCCATCCAAACAAGCCTGCATCTCAAAGTTAATTCCAGGAGACCAGCAATAGTGGGGCTTCAATTGACACTATTTTTTTTGTGTAAAGCTTCAATTGACACTAGAGATAAGCAATAGTACCTGTACCTGACACTAGAGATAATTCTGCATCCGAGAAATAGTGTGTACACTACAGATTGCTGTCAATTGACAGTTACAGACTCTCTGAACGCTTCCACATGACATCACCGGATCCATTTCTCGCACAATTAAGAACACATCCAAAGGGAAAAAGGGAAAAGAAGTGAGCGATGCTGTACCTCTGCTCGAGGTGGGCGATGGACGCGAGCGAATCTCGCCCTTGCTGACACAAAGACGGCCGTGCTCGATCTGGTCCGATGATGCTGCGCCCTGGAGGCCGCCGACGACACGTGACCGCCGGGGCCTGGGCTCGAGTGATGGGGCGGCGCAGAGGTGGGGGGCTCTGGCCGGAGATACAGGTGCCGAGATGGGTGGCCGCGACGGCCGGAGCTGGAGGAGCCGAGGTGGGCGCGCGGCGCGCGGCGACTGCCGGAGCTCTTGACGCGCCGGGATTGGGAGTCCACCGGGGTGGGGTGGGGGCTGCCTCCGGCCGGAGCTGCAGGTCGATGGCGGCGGTCGGCGGTCGGAGCTCCACGCGTTTTTTTATTTCGACCGGGACATTTTTTTAGGGGACGAAGCCAATAAACATGAGTTAAGATCGGTGCTGTAGATGTGTCCCCGGCCACAACTCAGTGACGCGTCTTTAGAACACGCGTCACATTTATTATCTGTGACTCGTGTTATCGAGAAGTGTCACGGATATGCTTTCCTATTGGTGACGCGTCCAGCAAAAACGCGTCACATGCCTTATCTGTGACGCGTTTTGTTAACGCGCGTCACGAATACATCGTTATTAGTGACGCGTCTTGCTCCTGGGGCATGGGCAACAACTAATCGGTGACGCGTCTCGTGAACCCGCGTCACGGATAGATTATTGGTGACGCGTTTCGTTTTTGTGTCACGAATCGTCGTGTCACTGATAACGTTTTCTGGCATAGTGTAATCTATAGGTATAATTTAATTGTTGCCCGAACAAATTAACACAAATGAGGTGAGACTTTCCACCCACATGTGCCACTATGTGCTAAAATTAGAGTATTAAAGGGAGAGGGTATTAAGTCACAAAAAGGGAGAGGGATCACTATGCGCATGCATCCTCAAGCTGCTCTCATGTTCTATGGGTTACATTTCATTCCCGACGTATGATAGTATAAATCGGTTTCTTCCTTTTTTATTTAGACAGTGGATTTATCTATTTCTTTCAAGAATTGGAGATATATATTTCAATTGATTGCTCACCAACTCTCTTCTTTTCAATTAAACTAGCTAGGTGGCCCATGTGCGAACATGGAGTATTGTTTTCTTGACCAAAGGTAGATTACACGGTCAGGAGTTGCAAATTGCAAGTGAGAAGAAAAATTGTAGACTTGACAAAATATGTCATTTTAACATACATTAGGTATTCCTCATTTTGGTAAGCATTTCTATTAATGTTTTTGTCCTTGTGTATTATATATGTTGAATTTTTTATATTCCTCATTTTGGTAAGTATTTTGAAAGGAGCTTGATGTCGCCTAGAGGAGGGGTGAATGGGCCAAGAAAAATCATGAACACAAATTCAACGCAACAAGTCAACAACTGTCAGTAGTACCAACTTTAATCGGTAGTACCGACGTTTGTCGGTAGTATGCTAAGTGTGACATCCGACTTAGTTTGGAATTTGTTCCATAGTAGCTCTTGTGCATGTTAATAAGATATTGTGGGGGGTTTAGTCCCACCTTGGTTGTTTAGAGTGGGTTAGACCAACATATAAGGCTTCTAGAGTCCATCCCACCATCCCCAGGCTAGTCCTTTTACACAAAGCAAGGACGAAAGCATAAGTGAGATGGTGGTAGGTGTGGTTCGCTCAGCATGTAGAGTGGATCTGAGCCGTTTGGACTCAGGGGCGTTACAAATGGTATCAGAGACGACCTTTGCAGCCACGGGCGCGTGCGGGTTAGGTGCGCGAACATGAGTTCATTGCATGTGTAGGCCCTATAGGGTGCATGACATGGCACATGTGCTGGCACTGGATGCACGGTCATGTGCGCTAAGAGGGAACATTCCTGGAAATCATTTGCCCGGTTGTGGGTGTGTTGGGCCGACGAGGACGTCGGTTCGTTTGAGGGGGTGTATGTGACATCCGACCCAGTTTGGAATTTAGCCCATAGTGGCCCATGTCCATGGTAATGAGATATTGTGGGGGTTTAGTTCCACCTTGTTTGTTTAGAGTGGGTTAGACCAACATATAAGGTTTCTAGAGTCCATCCCACCATCCCCGGGTTAATCCTTTTACGCGAAGCGAGGACGAAAGCATAAGTGGGATGGTGGTAGGTGTAGTTTACTCAGCATGCAGAGTGGATCTAAGCCATTTGGACTCTAGGGCATTGCACTAAGCGTCGGTAGCACCGACCCCTATAGGGAAGCTATGAAATTTGAGATAAAGAGCTCCAAATTTAGATATGAGTTTTACCCCACTTTCTAAGATGTAGATGAAGATGATGTGGTACTCCCTTGCCCTTGTACCACCTCCAGTTCATAGATTGGGGCCTCCAGTTTGTAGATCGGGACCAAACTCTAGAAATTTTCATCAAACAAGTATAGAGCAGTACAAAGCAAGAACAGAAGAGAGACAAGGTGTCGGGCCCTCAATTTGAGAGTCCTAGTGCACTTGTATTTGCACTAGGATCATGCACAAATACGCACAGAAATAACAGAATGGGCACATAGATTTAATATAAAATACCGAGATTTATTGATAATCAAAATATGGTCTTACAATAGTCAAGGTTCAAATGACATAGCCATAGGCATTACATAACTAGCGAGGTTCTACTGCCATGAAGCGGCAATTTATTACAACAGGGCGGTAGATACTATAGTGGAAACCACAGCGTAGAGATACTCTAATCCACAGCCAAGCTTGAGCGCGGTCGAAACCCTATGTTCTAGTGACTCCTAGCAAATCCGTAAATCTTCGCGTGGCTCCTAGTCCTCGTGGTCCGCCTCCTCATCGATGTTGTAGTCCTCTAGTCCTCTTCAGGGTCAATATCTGTGAGTCATCAACAGATGAGTACATAAAGTACTCAGCAAGCCCTAACCTTGGGGTATAGTGGAGTGGATGGTGGAGGCTTTTTCGTGGAGGTGGTAAGGGGATGGTAATATAGTGCAAATAATATTTGGGCCCTAGAAGAGCATTACCCTTCTTGCCAGTTCCTGGGTTAGTATCACAAGTTATTTAAATAATCACATTAGCACAGCTCCATTTCACATAAATAAAAGATGACTAATCATAAGAGACCTCATCCCAGCGATTGCCCATTCCAAGGATGTGGCTATTCGAATAGATTCAATATGCTATGTAGAGGGTGTACACTTTTCCCCACATGATAGGCACAATTCCCAACCATGATCAGTGGTGGAAATAGGCCTAACGAGATCCCGTACCCAAAAGACTCGACCTTAGATTT